TCTTTGAGTAGACTGGGGGGAGGGGCAATGAGAGGTTAAATGACTTGCCCAAGGCCACATAGCTGGGTCTTCTTGATTCCAAGGCCAGCTCTGTATCTAGGATGCCTCTCAGTCCTGCCTAGCATTACTCAGATCAAAACTTTTTTTTAAAGCTATTACATGGAACATCACCAAGAGTGCCCCAAGTCAATCAGGCCAAGCTGATGAGCATTTATTAAAAGCTTACTATGTGCCAGGCACTGTGCTAAGCACTAGGGATACAAAGAAAGGCAAAATACAGTCCCCATTCCCAAGGAGCTGTTTAATGGAGGAGCCAACTATATACAGACAAGCTATATACAAGATAAATTGGGGGAAGCCTCAAAGGGAAGGTACAAGGATTGAGGAGGACTAGAAAAGGCTTCTTGTAGAAGATGGGATTTTGGCTGGGACTTAAAGGAAACAAGAGAAGTAATGAGGCAGAGATGAGGAAGAAGAGAAGTCCAGGTATGAAGGACAACCAGTGAAAAATCACAGAGTTGGAAGATGGAATAGCAAGAAAGCCAATGTCCCCAGATCACAAAGTATGTGCAGGGAAGGAAAGTATAAGAAGACTGGAAAGGTGGGAAGGGACCAGACTTTAAATGCCAGACAGAGGATTTTAGATTTGATCTTAGTGGTATAGGGATCCCCTGCAGTTTACTGAAAGGGGGAGGGTAGTTGGTCAGACCTGTGCTGATTGTTTTGGCCATCCAGTGAAGGATGGGCTAGAGTGGGGAGAGACTTAAGGCACCGAGACCAATCATACCAAACGATTGGTGAAGCATAAGGTAATGAGAACCTGCAGAGTGGTAACACAGTGTCAGAGGAGAGAAGGGAGTATATAAGAGACAGAATCATAAAAAAGTAGAATCAACAAAACTTGGCAAGAGATTGGATGTTGGAGGTCAGAGAAAGTGGAGAGACGGAGGCTGCAAACCGGGGTAACGGGGGAGGGAGTTAGGAAGCGAGGGGCGCTTTGGGGGAGCTTGAGTTTACTTTTGGATGCGCTGAGTTTAAGACGGCGATGGGACATCCAATTCCAACATTCATTTGGAGATGGGAGACTGGACATTAACCAATATCAGCACACTGCTTAGAGTATGGTAGGACACAAATACTAAAAAAAAAAAAATACCAGCCCAGTATAGAGCCAGACAGAAATCCTTCTTGTCAGTTGGCTCCTGTGATAAGCTATTAAAGTACTGGCTGGTCGACAACCCTTGGTGATTCCTGTCTAGTGACCTCTTTCCATTATGCTTCACTGCCCTCCTTCCTGAGCACCCACTAGATTGTAAGCTCCCTAACAGTGAAGACCTTATCTTACTTGTCTTCCTCTGTACCCCAGAGAAGAGCATAATTCCTTTTGTGTTTTTTGGTAAAGTCCTGGTTTTGGTCCAGACCTGTGGTTTCACCAGTGTGGGGAGCCACTAGTCCTTTCACCAATGCAGATCTGATGACTTAACGGTCTTCAAGAATTGCTTTGGGGGGTAGGGGGACGGTGCCACCAAGAGGTTGAGTGACCTGCTCTTGGTATGTATCAAAGGCAGAACTTGAACCCAGGTCTTTCTGACTCCACTATGGATTCTTTATCTACCACATCACAATGCTCATTGCCTTATGCATGAGACACAATTAACAAATGTGGACAGAAAAAAAGGAATGAAGGGAGGAATCTAGATTGCCAGTCTTGAACTTATCTTCGGTTCTGTGCTCTCTCTCACCCCACATATCCAGGCAGAATCCCAGTCTTGCCATTTCTTCCTCGATGACGTTCTCACATCAGTCTCTTTCTACTCAATCACCCAGGGCTGTGCTTGAGTCAGCTAAGGCTGGAGAGCCATTTGTTAAAATTTCAGCGTGAGAGTTTAAATGTCTCCTACAAACCAGGGCCTGACTTATTGTTTTGCTGGTTTCTAGACTTAAGAAAGTGTTGGAGAAAATACATTAAACAATATATTGTATGTGTGTCTTTTCCATCCTTTCTCCTTCCCAGAGCTAGTAGTTAAACATTCACCCTGCAATCACCCCTAGTTCAGGCCTCCATCGACTCTCACTTTAATTATTATACTAGTTCCTAATTTGTGTCTCTGCCTCCATTCTCTTCTCTTATCCATCCTCCACAAAATTTTCTAAGTTATATTCCTAAAGTACAGGTGTGACCCTGTCACTTCCCTGCTTGGAAAATTCCAGTGGTCTCCTTTAGCTCTAGGAACAAAACTATGCTCCCCTGTTTGACATTTAAAGTCCTTCACCATCTGGCTTCAACCTACCTTGCCAGGCTTATTATATATTACTGCCCTTTACACAGCCAGTAGTTCAGCCAAACTGGCCGCTTGATCTTCTTCAAATACAACACATTGTCTTTTGTCTACACATCTTTGTACAGACTGTTGCCCCCGTTACCTGGAAGGCCCTCCCTCCTCCCATCTGCCTTGTAGAATCCCTGTGTATCTTCAAAGCTCAGCCCAAATGTCACCTCCTACACAACGCCTTTCCAGATCCTCCTAAACTGCTAGTTTCTTCCTATGCCAAGATTACTTTGTATTTTTTTTTTTGGCAAGGCAATGGGGTGAAGTGACTTTTGCCCGGGGTGAAGTGACTTTTGCCCGGGGTGAAGATTACTTTGTATTTCTTTGGATATGTCTTGGATATACTTACAAGTGTACAGTTTTTCCCTTGGTTAGAAAGTAAGCTTTTTTGAAAGCAAGAACTGTTTCACTTTTGTCTTTGTCACTCGATCACAACATGATACAATACAACAAATACTTATTAATCACCTACTATATGCCAGGCACTGAGCTAAGTGCTGGGGATACAATAAGAAAAGGAAAGACAGACCCTGCTCTCAAGGAGCATATAGTCTTGGGGGGGGGGAACCCAACATACAAAAGGAAGCTAAAAGGTGGGGAGGGGGAGGAAGCATGGTGTTGGAGTGCAAGGGCACAGTGATGGTAGTGTAGAATCCAAAGAGTGCAGCTGTTGGGAAACAGAGAGTTCATTGGGCTTCTGAGCCCTCTTTATCAGACGGTTTGAGAGAAGTGTTTTTACTCCTTCCTCCAGCCTTCCAATCAGAGGGGCAGATGCTACTGAGGGTCCTGATGAGGTGTGAGAACTAAAGCTGAAGCAGTCTATGGGGATGATGAGTTTCCTGGTGATGAGCTTTTCCTGGGGGAGGTCATGATGATGGTGGAATAGCATCCAAAGAGTATAGCTGGTGGGAAATGAAGAGGGGGCTGGACTTCTTTCTTCTCCTTCTATGGAAGCTTTATATGTAGCACCTAGCACAGTGCCTGGCACATAGTGGGTACTTAATAAATTCTTTGATGATTCATTTTGAAGGATGGAAGACTTACTGTATTATTATATATTATGTATTGTGCATTAGAGACAGCTAGGTGGCTCAGTGGGCAGCTAGGTGGCAAAGTGGATAGAATGACTGGCCTGGAGTTGGGAAGACTCATATTCCTGAGCTCAAATCAAGCCTCAGACCTTGAGCAAGTTCACTTAACCCTGTTTGCCTCAGTTTCCTCAACTATCAAATGAGGTGAAGAAAAGGGCAAAAATTCCATTATCTTTGCCAAGAAAACCCCAAATTGGGGCAGCTAGGTGGCTAAGTGGATAGAGCACTGGCCCTGGTGTCAAGAGGACCTGAATTCATATCTGACCTCAGGCACTTGACGCTAGTTGTGTGACCCTGGACAAGTCACTTAACCCAGATTGCCTCACCCAAAACCCCCCCCAAAAAAACAAAACTCAAATAGGGTCAGGAAGAGTTGGACACAACTGAAACAACTGAACAGCAAACCACAACAGAAGGTTCCTCAGTGGATAGAGCATTGAGCCAGAAGTCAGGAAGATTTGAGTTCAAATTTGGTTTCAGACACTTACTATCTGTGTGACCCTGGGCAAGTCACTCAAAGGCTGCCAGACTTAGTTTTCTTATTGATAAAATGAGGATAATAATAGCTACCTTCTAGGGTTGTTGTGAAGATAACATGATATAATACTTGTAAAGTATTTTGCAAACCTAAAAGCATGGTATAAATGCTTGCTATTGTTATCATTATATATAGAGCTCTGAGCTAGGATTATGAATGGAGACCAAAGAAGTACTCTGGAAGACTTTTCAGTGTACCTGAGAATGAGGTATTCACCCTCTCTACCTCCATCCCTTCCAGCTCTAGATAGAAGACCCTAATCCTACACACAACCTATAAATCCCAGTTCAAATGCTACCTCTCCTCTCCTGATTCATCTAGTTGTAAATAATTGTAGCTCTTGTTTTGCACCTCTCTTACACATTTATTATGTTCCATTCTTAATTCTGGTGTTTTGTACAGGTATCTTATACTCTGTTAGATTGTAAGTGCCCTAAGGCAGGAACCATGTCTGAACTCAACTTTGTCTTCAAGAGTAGTGCTCTGCACCTGGTGGCAGCTTAATCAGTAGCTATTGAACTGAATTAAACTTTGATGTGTGAATGTTTGTCAAGGGTCATATCAATAGGCACAACTTAATATAGTACAAAGAGGGCTAGCCTTGACTTCAGGACACTTGGGTTTAAATCCTGACTGTTCTTTACTACCTGTGAGTATCTTTGGACAAGTCATTTCACTTCTGAGCCTCAGTTTCCTCATCTGTTAAATGAGAACATTGGATGAGATGATTTCTGAAGTCCCTTCCTGTTCTGACATTTATTCTCTCTGATACTGGGAATATATGATTTTTATGGTTGATTAGAGTAGAGGAGAGAGCAGAAAGGGATGGAGTTGCTAGGAGTAGGGAGGAGCTAATTGAGAAAACTTGCCGATGATGAATTTGGAGCCAGGCAGATATGGGGAATGAGGGTGAGTGAGAATGTTCTTTGTCCCTGAGCAATGTGATGAAAAATACCCTCTCATACCCTTTGTGGGCTCTGGGCTGGTGGTAGGACATTTACCCCATCTCCTCCTGTCCTCTCTGTTTTCTTCTCTTGCCAGATTCATGCAGGAGCTGACAGAGATGCTGGGCTTCCGACCCTACCAATTCTACTTCTACATGTGGAAGTATGTGTCCCCCCTGTGCATGGCTGTTCTCACCACTGCCAGCATCATCCAGCTGGGTGTCACCCCACCGGGCTATAGTGCCTGGATCAAGGAGGAGGTAAGGAGAAAACAGGTCACCTTTCCCCAAGCCTCCCTCTCCCTGTTCCAAAGGGCAGAGTCACATTGGATCCATTGAATCCTTCCTCAGTCACCATAATTTCTCAGACCTGTTTATTTGTTCTCAGCAGGAAGTTAATGCTCCATTTTGGATCTGGGGAAACAGGCTTACAGAAGCCATACTAGTTAACCACATGACCAAAAAAAGTTTAGCAGTGAGACCAAAGCTAGACCCTAAGTCTCTTGATTCCTGGTCCACTCTACTATGTTGCTTCTTATCATTTGTAGGGTGTGTCATTTAAGAGTACTGGTTCTGGAGCCAGAGAACCTGGCTTCAAATGATTGCCTAGTTGTTTGGGAGATTTTTTGGAGAGTTTTCCAACTTTTATTAATCAGAAAGGTGATACTTCATTTAGATGGCCAACTTAAAAAAAATTTGTCACCCATTTACCTTTTATTTTAGTTATATTTTTCAATGTTGGCTCTGATAAGAAAGAAAAGAAAAGAAATCTGTTTTTTTTTTTAATAAAAGTTACAACCAGAAGGAAGTATCTCTTCCTTTCAGGGCAAAAGAATAGGAAGCAGGAACAGGGAAAGAAATGGGGCAAATGAGATGAAATTCATTAAGTATAAAAATTTGTTACTCAAATTCAGAATAATAATTGAATAACTTTGTTATTTCATATGTATCTGGGAATGGACTAGAGACAAGTCCCAGTCCTGTCAAGTAGAGGTAGAGTTCCAACATTTGGTACAATATTCCAAGAGAAGGTGAAAGTAACATATTTATTTCCTTTGAGACCATTTCCATTGTCAAAGATAAAATCTTTTGATTTCATATCTTTCAGCAGCAGCTTTGGATTATCGACTTTACATTCCAATCAAATATATTCTCTAGATCAGCAGTTACATCAAATGTAATGAATCCGAGACCACTTCCTTCTCTAGATACAGTGAAGTCTTCTACATTGTTTTATTTTCCATGGGCCTCAGTTTCCTTATCTGTAAAATGATGGAGTTGGATTTGGTGGCCTTTGAGATACCGTGCAGCTCTAGAACTATGATTGTATGCCAAGGGGTGTGATCTAGTCTCTTCAATACTGTGGCATGGAGGGGCATGAGGAAGTTGTCCCCTTGGGATGCCTACATGAATTCGTGAGGAGGGTCAGAGAGGAACCATTCCTATCCCTAGAGAGAGAACCAGACAAGGGTGAACATCTGGCTGATGCTTTTACTTAGTATGCTCTCCCCTTACTTTCTCTCTCAGGCTGCAGAACGGTACCTCTATTTCCCCAACTGGGCCATGGCCATCCTGATCACTCTCATTGTCCTGGCCATTCTGCCCATCCCCGTGGTCTTCATCCTCCGCCAGTTCCACCTGCTGTCAGATGGCTCCAATACCCTGTCTGTGTCCTACAAGAAGGGCCGGATGATGAAGGACATCTCCAACTTGGAGGAAAATGATGAAACCCGCTTTATCCTGAGCAAGATGCCCAGCGAGACTCCCTCCCCGATGCCCACCCATCGCTCCTACCTTGGCCCAGGAAACACATCCCCCCTGGAGATGAGCAGTGCCCCCAATGGACGCTATGGGAGTGGATACCTGCTGGCCAGCACCCCTGAATCTGAGCTGTGACCACTGTCACTCTACTTCCCACCCTCTATCCCTTACCTGCCTCTCTGGTCTACCTTCCTACTGCCCATATTCCTGACCGGTGGTGGTACCATCCCCAGTTCAGCTGGGCATGGGATTCTCAGAGCCACCACCTTACCTCTTAGAATCATTCCTGGACCTTGCTCAGTGTAAGGAACAAGGGGTTTGGAACATATTCCCTTCCCCACTCTCCCCCATTTGCCTGTCTCTGTAACTCCATCTGGTCCCCTTCATACCTCTAGCCAAATTACACACCCTAGGAGGTGCCATCACAACAGTTTAGGTGCTGTGGTGGCTGTGTCAGAGATGACTCAGGAATCTGGATTCCCAGCCCAGCAGCTCTTCCAGGTGACTCCTGAGGCATCTCTTTCACCTCTCTTCCTGTTTTCTGCCAACTCTGGTTGTCTCTTTCCTTGGTGTTTTCTTGCTCCTTACCTGGACAGAGCTTGACGAGGCAGTGACTCCATTAAGACTGGAGGTTCCTCTCTTGGGACCAACAGGTTTTACACCACTGATGATCGGGGAGGAGGATGCTCCCCAACAGACACAAGCAGTGAGTGGGCTAAAAGTCTGTCTTCAGGCCTGGTACTTGGCAGCCCCCTGGTACAGGGAGGCCTCCAAGGGTATCTGTTCTGTGAGAGAGACCAGGGAAATTGCCTCTGGAGGCTCAGATAGTTGGCACAGGGTTCCCCTTACATCTGATCCTGGTGGGAGGAGAGGGCAAAGTGGTCAGCTGATGATGAATGGATTTCGTTGCTGTGTCTAAGATCCGGATGTAATGTTCCAGCCACTGCCCTAAGTATGGGAGGGGTTGCTCAGGGACCAGTATAAGGTCTCCCTAGCTATGGGGGGGAAGACAGAAGGTGAGCTATTACAGGATGCTGCTTTTATTGTGTGTGTGTATACATGGACGCATCTGTCCTGCTGCCTGTCTCATCATGTCTGTGAGAATAGCCCTGACTGGGGTCAGGTCAGTGTCTCAGCTTGGGAATGCTTTGCTTAGCCCTCAGGATATAGTGCTCTGAGTGGAGCCTGAGAGCAGTGGCCTCTGATTCTCTCCAGTTGTGGGAGCAAGGACAATTGGGAGTGAGGTGAGGTGGGGGCAGAAGGCTGCTCCCAAACTTGTTTTCGGAAGCACACTATTTCCCCCTCTCCTACCCTCCCCCCATCATTCCAAGCAGGGGACAGTCATCTCCCTCCGGCAGCTACTCCCTCTGGAGCAGGAGGGCCCTGGGATCTGGGGAATTCTCTGTGCTCCTAGGAGTGGAGGGGGGCTCTGGCCCAGGACCTTCCTTGCCTGTGATTGGTTAATTAGGCACAAGGTGGAGAAGTCCTAGGGTCTGGGGAAAAGAGTTTCAATTTCACTGCCTCCTCAGCCCTGATGGCCACTCCCACCCTGAACAATCCCTTCAGGACTGTCTGAATAATCCCAGTGGCCAGTCTTTCCAGTGACTGCCCTCCCTCACCCCACCCCACCACTCCACTGTCACCAGCTTCCTCTCCACCTCCTCCCTTCTTCCTCTTCCTCATCCCTTACTATTTTAGAACCACTCCCAAGCCTCTTAGGTCCCATCTTACAGGGAACTTAACAGAACCCCACTGTTGCAAGGAAACATAGATCCTGCCCTGATGAGTTACCGAATGAGTGAGTTCCTTTACCCCAGTGGCTTAGGAAACAGAACTCAAACTCAGGTCCCCTGACAACTCATCTGGGGTTCTTTTAGCAACATCATGCCCAGTATTATCATCCAGACTTGCCTGGTTGAGGGCTAGCTACCCCTAGGAAGAGTCAGGATTTCTGAGCATAAACATGGAATCACAGGACCTGAGTTCAAATCCTGATTCTGTCACTTGCTACCCATATATCTCATCTGTAAAATAAGCGGGTTGGACTATATGACCTCCTAGGTCCTTTCCTGCTCTCAATTCTGTGATGGTGGTGGGGAGAAGGGATCCTGGGAGTTGTGCAATTAAAGAAAACATCCGAAGTGCTTCAGAATTGAATTGGGAACGGAGTATCTGTTGAATGAATTAACAAATGAATGAATGATTGAATTGCCCCCAAACTTTCCCTGGCTTAGAAAGTGATCCTCTGCCTTTAGAAACTTCCTCTAAGGTGAGCAAACTAGGCAACAGTGCTTGGTCCAGGTCCCTAGGGGAAGAACCTTGAAGTACCTTCCCTGGATGTGGCCAAGTTTTCACTCAGGATTGGGAGGGGACAGACTGAGCCCAGGGTCCCTTCCTCCTCTCTCCCTCTTCTGCACCTTGGCCATCCACTTCCTTCTTCTCATCTTTCATCCTGCCCATCCTCTCTTCTTTCATGGTTCTTCCTTGCCTTTTTTCCACCTTCTCTGAGGGCTTCCTATGTGAGAGGGCCTTATTTCCACAGCAGGGTGAGTATATGAATGAATTTGCCCCAATCTGCGGTGCCCTCGCCTCTCAGAGATTGATTACTCCTCCCTCTTCTCACCCCCACCCCAACCTTTGCCCTATGCTTGTTTTTCAGCGAACTTAGGTAGGGAAAGGGAAAATGTAAAAACCCGAGAGAGACAATACATTATATATATAATATATATTATATTCCATATATTCTATTTCTATTGTATATATGAACTGTACATGTCTGTGTAAATGCTGTTTAATGAGAAGCCCAAAGCAGTAATTAGTGGACTATTTTCATCCTCAGTGCTGTACAGATAATATTTTCATTGTATATTTGATATTTATAATTTTTTTTAGTGTTTGGCTGGGTCAGACCCCAGCCTGACAGCCTGCAGGGGCAGGGCACTGGGCTGGGTGGGGGGAGGGGGGACCATTCTTTCGTTTTATGTGGGGTTCAGTATTGCATTGTGACCATTTGCTGTAGGCTGGGGCCCAGTTGCAGCTGTGTTGTTCTTGTGTGTTATAGCCATAGGGCTCATTTGCTAGGTAAGTAGGATGTCCCTGCCGGTGTGTGTTAGGATTTGTGATTCCTTGTGTCTACTGCTTTTCTGGGCCTCTTACCCACTCCTGCCTGCTGCTGTCCCACGCTAGACCTTGAATTGATGTATTGGAAATGAGGGAAGAAAAGGCCCCCACTGGTGGGGGTACCCTTTACCTATTAGTTTTTTGCCTTGGGACAACAGAGGCCTTAGTCTACAGAGTGAATTTTACCCCAGGGTGATGTCTATCTGTCTGTCTTTTTCTGTAAGTAGCCAAAGTGAGCTAGAGCTCCATGGATCCTGTGCGTTTAGAAGTGGTTTGCATTTGTGTATGAGCAGGAACAGGACTGAGCAGAGCAAGCCATCATTCCTGGCCACTGTTCAGAGACAGAGAAAACCCTGAACCTTGTCTTTCCACCAAAAACTTAGGTGCTCCCATCAAATTAATAATCCATTTTAACAGAGAATAAACTACTTGATGTCACCAACTGAGGAAGGTCCTTTCATCTATCCCCGTGCCTCTGTCCTTATTGATGATGACAGTGAAATAAGCTTAGCCTGGCAGATTGGCATGAGTATGTGGGATGCAAGTTGAGGGAACCTCTGTTGTTCTTAAAGTGTTCCAGTTTTGTTCCAACTCCAGGATCCCATACTTACTGGGGACAAAGTACTAGGGTGGGGGGAAGAAGTACAGAGGCAGCCAGACTGTTTTTAGCCAAAACTCCAACTTTTCTCCTTGATGGAACAGAAGAGTTTGGGTGATAAGGGTGAAAGATTGGCCTCTGGGGCCCTAGGAGACAGGTTCATGGGAATGGTGGGGGGGGGGGATGCCTTTTGTGTCCTCTTAACTTCCCTGACTACTGCTTGACTTGGTAAAACACTAGCATGGGGCCAGAATTCACATGGAAGAAGCCCAGGGTAAACAGACAGCCCCAAACAAAGCTCTCCCCTGACCCTTGTTATTTCTACTTTCACAACCCTCCTTGGCAGGCCAGGGCTCACCTAGCCCACATCTGGGAACCGTGGGCTGTAGCAGCACTGCGTAGAAAGACTGGGCAGGAGCTGAGCAAATCCCTGGTTCCTTTTCTGCTCCTATCACCAGCTTCTTGCTCAGGGAGATTTTTCCTCCACCCCTCTGGCAAAGGCAGTATGTCAAGCACTAAGCTAGACTCCCCTAAGGTATATGTGAATGGGGAAGAGACCAGTGCCAGCTTGGAAGGGAGCAGCTGGGCACTGGGCAGGGTGAGGCTTCCCTTCCCTCCACCATCTCCCCCCCCCCCCCCCCGAGCCAGATGAGCCCAAGCAGGTGTGGGCAGGCTCCTGGCCCAGATAGCTTTTGCTTTCTAGCAATAAATTCCCCATAGTGCTGGGACAAGTCTGATGTTAGCTACGTAATTTGCGGCCTGTGAGTTGTTGTTAGAAGCTGCTGGTGGTCCTGGCCCCCAGTGCTTGCTGCAGTATTACTAACTGGTCCCTGTGGCCACTACATTCCAGCCCTCCTCCCCATCCTTCAACCCTGTCCAAGATTGTTAGCTTGCCCACCTGCTCTGAATGAGGGGCATTTGGTTCTGCCTCTCAGAAATGCGTAACACCCTCCCCCCCACCCCCGACATTATTTCCTCATCTCCCTCCCACCAGCTCAGTGAGCATTCTAAAGTCCTTTCTCAGCTTAGGACACCAAGTTTGGCCCAGAATTCTTTGCACAGCCTGGAGGCAGCTGAAGTGGTTTCCTGGAGGGAAAAAGCAAGCAAATGCTGCAGGAGGAGAGGCCAAGCTCTTCTACCAGACCCTGGAGTTCTGGGGGTCGGATTGTCTCCCAACTAGGCTGCAAACATAGGACTGGGATTGGGAGGAAGGTCTTCAAGGACAGACGGAGGCCGCTGTCTCCTCGCCCAGGTTCCATTGCACAGATAGTTAGATATAAGCACACAACTTACAGTCACTTGGTTTTCTAGTAAAAGTTGAAATCGAATGCAGCAGATATCATCCCTCCCCTCTCCCACCCCCTCCCCCTGATGTAGCTGGTCAGAGCTCTAATTACAAGCTGCCCTACTGCAGGAGGAGGGAATGCAACAGTCCCTCTGAACCCCCTGCCACCCCCTCAACGGGGCGCAATAAAGTATCTGTTCTTACCAAGCTCTCATTGACTTTGTTTCCTGCTTGGAGGAGGGTGAGGGAGGGGGAAGGATGAAGGATGGGACAGAATAAGGGGAGAGTAGGGAGAAGGGTCTAGGGAAAAGGTGGGGAGGGACTGAGAAGTAGGGTAGAGAAGTTAATGGTCATGATGGGCAGCACGAAGGTATTGGCTTTAAGGGGAGGGATCTCAAAAGTCTGGGAGGGATTCTGGGGGAATCTGTATCCAGGAAAGGGCCAGAGCCAAGCCACGCAGAGGACAGAGCACCAGAAGTCAGGAAGACAACAAGCATTTATTAACTATTTACTGTATGTTAGCACTATACCAAGCTCTGGGATAAAGCAAAAGCAAAGACAATCCCTGCCCTCAAGGAGCTTACATTCTAATGTGGAAAGATGATACATAGAAGGGAGTCAGTGTCAGAGAGGTGTGACAAGGTGAGAGGATTCCAAGGACTGAGGGAAATTTCAGAGACTGCAGCTAAAGCTTGAAGAAACAGGAGGTAAATGAAGGATGTTCAGCCTGGGCCCATCCCCAAAATGGAGGCCCCAGGAGAAAGTTACCAGTCGAACAAAGGGGTTGGCATGGGAAGACAAAACTTTGAATTTTGACTCAGATGCTTACCACCTATGTGACCCAGGGCAAAGACCTAAATCTCTCTGGGTTGGACTCTCTAGCCTCTAAGGTCGGTCCCTTTCAGTTCAATCTATGATCCTATGAGAAAAGAAGGTGGGGTGAGGGGGGCACATATAGACACCATGCAGTGGATATTGAGAAGGGGCTTGTGCTTGCCACAGGATTCCCTCAAGGGGTGGCTGCAGGGACAAGGTTTTTGGAGCTTTGAGATGCCTCTGCTACCCCCACCTCCGGAGCTGGTTGCAAAACTATCATTGACTCTTTTTTGTTTGTGTCTTTTTTTTTCTTTTTGGTGAGGCAATTGGGCTTAAGTGACTTGCCCAGGGTCACACAGCTAGTAAGTGTCAAGTAACTGAGGCCAGATTTGAACTCAGATCCTCCTGATTCCAAGGCCAGCTCTATCCACTGCACCATCTAGCTGCCCCATACTATCATTGACTCTTGTTGTTTGCCCTTAGTCCTTGAAGAAGACCATGACATCAGGAAGGTGATGCCATGACATGCAGTGAAGGAGGGATATGCAAGGTCACCAGCTTCTTAGAGCTGTAAGGAACCCCGGAAGTCACCTAATTGTTAGAGCTCTAAATGCAAGGAAGATTCTATTTATATTGAGCCCAAGTCCAACCCTCTGAGATCAAGCAAATTTAATTTTTGTATCACAGACCCCTTCAAAGATGTAAATACAACAGTCACAGACACCCCCCCCCCAATCTGTACCAAGCTCATCTTCCCCAGCTTCTTCAATGGAGACCTCTCCCGGTCCCTCTTCTCTTGTTACACTTCAGGTTGTTAAGATTTGTCCAACAGATGGTGACCAGAAGTGAACGCAGCCCTCTAGCTGTGGCCAGACTGGGACAGAATGAGGAGGGACCGTCATCTGCACTATTTTGAATCTATATTAGAATCATCTGAAAGAGAACTGGCCATTTGATCTGCTTTCACAGGAGCAGTGGCGTAAATGACTTCCTGTAAGAGGCTAGGACTGAAAACAAAGGTGGGCTCATTTAACCCTGTTTGTCTTAGTTTCCTTATCTGCAAAATGAGCTGGAGAAGGAAATGGTAAACCCCTGCCAAGAAAATCCGAAATGGAGTCAGGAAGAGTCAGATGTGACTGAAAAACAAGTGAATATCAACAGCAAATGCTTAGAGCTGATACAGAGCTTTAAGCACCTTATATACCACTATATATATATATATATATATATATATATATATATATATATATATATATATATACAAAATATACATATTATATATAATGTGTATGCATATATACTATATATAAAAGCATCTTCTATGTTGTCTTCTTTGAACTTATAATAATCCTAAGAGGTAGGTGTTATTATTATCCTCATTTTGCAGATGAGAAAACTGAGGTTGACAAAGGTTAAGCAACTTGCCCAGAGTTACAGTTAGTAAGTGTCTGAGGCTAGATTTGAACTCAGGTCTTCCTGACTCCAGACCAAATACTCTATGTACTGCATCACCAAGCTGACAGAGCAATGCTTTGCTGAAATCCAGGTAGACTATGGCTGCAGCAATAGCCTGCCCTGCCAGTATAGTAGTATGGGCTAAGAAATGGAAATGATATTTAATCTTGGAGAAGTGCCACCTTTCCAAGGATTTCTGACCCTGTGGGAAAATATCAGGTTGCTAAGCATTTATTAAGTGCTTCTTGTGTGCCAAGCACTGAGAGCAAACAGAGCCAGAGAGAAGGGATTTTGCCTTCTATCTGATCCTTCTCCACCCATGTAGGGCTAACAAGCATGAAGCCTCTATGGTAGCACCTTTGGGAGAAGAAAGAACTACATGTAGCCATAGTAACCAGGCAGGGTGGTACTGATGGGGAAACTGAGGACGGGCAAGAGCTAAGGATAGTCCAAGGTTACTAGGCTTGTGGTGTTTCTTGAGTTCAGTTCTGGGCATCACAGTTTAGGAAGAACACTGATAAGCAGCAAAACATTCAGATGAGGGAACCCAGGATGGCGAAAGACATTGAGTCCATGGCATGTAAAGATTGATGGAAGGAATTAGGACATTTAACCTGTGGGAAAGACTTGGGGGACAGGATCAGTATCTTTAAGTACGAGAAGGGCTCTTGTGTGAGAAAGGCAGGCAAGCAGTGACAAGTATTTATTAAGCCCTTAAATATGTGCCAGAAAGACAGTCCCTGCCCTCAAAGAGCTTACATTCTAATGGAGGAAGATAATACATAAAAGGGAGCTGGAGAAAGGTCAAGGGTGGGGGTGGGGGAAGTACTCAAATGGGGACAAATTCTGCAAGGGCATAGTAATAAAGTTTAGTCAGAAGAAGAGCCAGGAGGAACATAAAACGTGATCAGCCTGGGCCTGTCCCTAAAATGGAGGCTCAGGAAGGAAATCAACAGTGGGAGAAGGCCCCTAGCATGGGGGAGGGTTGTTCCAGGGTGAGAAGGTACTTGAATCATGGTGGCAAAAGAGAGTCAGGAATGAAACATAGCTGGCATGGTCTTATCCCCCAAGTAGAGAAACTCACCAATGGAAGAACAATGCCACAATGGCAGAAGGATGTTCCAAAGTGATCAGACTTGGTCCTTTTGGCCACAGGGGGTCAATGGATGGAAACTTTGAGGGGGCAGTTTTGAGGTTGATGAGAGGGAAAACCTTCCTGATAATGAGATTGGTCCAGAAGTTGAATAGGCTACCTTAGAAAGTAGTGAGTTCATTCTCCCTGGAAGTCTTCAAGCAGAGGATGAATGAGAACTTGTTGAGTTAGGTATAGAGGCAGCTGGTGGTGCACTGGATGGAGCACGGGGCCTGGAGTCAGGAAGACCCGAGTTTCAATCTGACCTTAGACTCTTACTAACTGTGTGACTCTAAGAGAATCATTTAACCTCAGTTTCCTCATCAGCAAAATGGAGATAATAATAGCAATTTCAGGGTCATTGTGATGATCAAATGAGACAGTATTTGTAAAGTGCTTTGCAAACCCTAAAGCGCTATATTCTTGTTTGGTTGTTTCAGTCATGTCTGACTCTTTGTGACCCCGTTTGGGGTTTGCTTGGCAAAGATATTGGAGTGGTTTGCCATTTTCTTCTCTAGCTCATTTGACAGATGAAGAACCTGAAGCAAACAGGGTTAAGTGACTTGCCCAGGGTCACACAGCTAGTAAGTGTCTGAGACCAGATTTGAACTCAGGAAGATGAGTATTTTTGACTTCAGGCCAGTCATTCTGCCCACTTTGCCACCTAACTGCCCCAAAGAGCTACATAAATGCTAACTATTTTTATTATTGTATTATGGAGATTTTTGTCTGGTTTGAGTTAGATGAGATAGTCTCTGAGGTCCCTTCTGGGGCCCAAATTCAATAATATTGTGATTGGGCAGGCTCTGGATCAGCTCTCTTTTCATTTCAGATAGGCAGAAAGAAGCTATTCTATACATGACCACCAGAGGGGAGAAAAGTCTGCTGAAATTTCCAGTCCTTCTTTTCTGCTGTTTCATCTAAGCATCAGCCTTGATAGTTTCCCTAGTCTTCTTTATGCCTATCTCCTTCACATCTCATGAAGCAAATGGGGAAACTGAGGCCCTGAAAGGTCACGAGATCACAGAGATGTAGGAACCCAGGTATCCAACCAATAGATTGAAGGTTTGACAGTGTCACCTCCTCCTCCCCATCCCCTCCTTCCCACGCCCTTGCTATTCACTCAATCTCAGCCTATTATCTGTAGGATCAAAGATAAAGTCCTTTGTTTGGGTTTTCAAGCCTTCACAAATTGGTCCCAACCTACTTTTCCAGTCTTGTCTTGACTCCCTCCTCTAACTTTGCAAGGCAGAAGCATTGACTTGCCTGCTCTTCCTCCGATATGGCACTTGGTCTCCTTTCTCTGTGCCTTTCTCTAACCCTCAGGCCTGGGTGCTTTGCCCGACTCGCCTCTGACTCCTGGCTTCCTTGAAGGCTCATCTGAAATTCCACTTTCGAAAAGAAGGCTTTCCCAGTAGTCTCCCACCTACCCAAGACCTTCCTTGTGAGATGACCTCCCTTTCATATTGCATGTACTATGGTATTTGCATGTTGCCTCCCTCATTAGATTGTAAGCTCCTTAAAGGTGGGGACTATTTTTGCCTTTTTTTTGGATCCCCAGAGCTTAGCACAAGTGCCTTAGCACATAGTAGGTGCTTAATAAATATTTTTGATTGATATTTATTTATATATAATATATAAGTATTATCATTCATACTGTGTATATTTTTATGTATTATGGTATTTACATGTTGTCTCCTCATTAGAATGTGGGCCCCTTAAGGGAAGGGATAGTGTTTTTGCCCTTTTTTTGCATCTCTGACATTTAGCACAATGCCAGGTATATAGTAAGCGTCTAATTAAT